GCAGCCGTGCTGCTCGCCGTAGCCCCTGACACGACGCATCACACATTTACAAAAAAACAAGAATATTTAAAAACGTTCAATAGTCAAACAATGTGCATTCGTATCTTTAAAACCGATGTCATATACAAATTTCTGAAGTTTTGTGAATGTAAACACTGTATATAATTAATTGTTCCAATTTTGGCAGTGGTAGAACGCGCATTAACATCTTCGCACTGCAGGGTCGGCTCGCCCGGTGTAATATCACGACCACACAGAAAACAGGCGTCAAGTGGAAGCAATTCCACATTTCGAGGAGTGTGGTGTCGGAGGCCTAATTTTAGTCCCTTTCCCTTTCCACCCTTTTTCTCATAAGAATAGGATGGGAAGGGAACGTGGATTTGACAGTGGAAAAACATAGGAAGGGAAAAGATCCTCTTTATATGCGTCGCCTCCTCCGTCGATTAAGGGTAGGCAACGCATCCGCCGTTGCTAATGTCTATGGTCGCTTCAGCATTTTAGCAGATTCATGATATGAAAAAAAGAATTAAATCTTTGAAGCTGAAGGCACATACAAGTTTCTGAAGTTTTGTAAATGTACATAATTGTGCAGCTGATTGTAAATATTATCCTTTTTTCCAAAGTTTGTCCAATCTTACCTGTTTAAAATGTCAATCATTCTCTTTGCATAACTATAGCCAAAGTTAGAGGAATGTGGTGGACCATTGTGCACCTGAAATTTTAAAGAACAACAATTAAGTACACTACAAATTTATTTACAATTAAATTTAACTGTAAATAATATTGACTTATAACAGAATAACAATCATATTAATCTGACTAATTCTTACTAATACTATAAATATGAAAGTTTAGATGGTTGCATAGATGTTTGTTAGAGTTTGTTCCCTAAACTGCTGAATGGATTTTGATCAAGTTTGGCATACATAGAGGATAATCTAGAAAACACATAGACTACTTTTGCTTTATCTTAATATTCCATGCGGACTGAATTACAAGTGAAAACTGTATTAAAATAAATAAATAAAATATCAACAATAAAATAAAACATACTTACCATAGTCTCATCAATGGGATATGTTGTTTTGTCAGGAAAGATACATGTAGACAGACAGGAGACAACTTTCTTCACATTGTATTTGTAGCTAGCGTACAGGACATTGTCATTTATTGCCATATTCTCCCTCTGTATAAAAAATAAGAATATATTTAATATTAACTATAAAAAGTTCCACAAGGCTCCTCAGGTATCTGTCATACTGAATATATTAAAAAAATTGATTGTCAATCATACTTATATTATAAATGTGAAAGTTTCGATAAATGTTTGTTAGTCTGTAGTCTAATTAGATGAACGGATTTAGATGAATGTGTGATGAATGATGATGATGAAAGGTCTGGAAGAACACATAAACTAGTTTTTTTTTTTAACTTCGCATGGAGATTAATTTTATATGATAATGTCACAAGTTAATTATGCCCTATCACTTTAAAATAAAACTTACAAAAAAATCCAAATTATGTGCCATGTTGTGGAACAGTCCCCCCACCATAGCAGCTAAGTGGATAACATGTGTGGGCTTGTGTTTGTCAAACAATGACAATGTTTGTGCTTTGTCTCTGAAAACAATGGTTGCAACTGATGCATTATTTTATTTTTTTATTATGTAATTCTCTCCTTTTCTCTTTTTAATATTGATATTGACAGGCACTACACAACTAGAAAAAATTACAATAAAGTTAAACTAAGACAGAGACGGGATATGTTTTTTTACCTTAAATCTGCATCTTTAGAACTACAAAATATCCAAGTCTCACTATCACATTTTGGATTATCTTGACGTTCTTTTTCTATCACTTCTTTTATAGCTTGTCCGACCAGTCCGGAGCCCCCGGTTACTAATACAATTTTGTTTTCTTCACTCATCTAAAGGACAAAAAAGAGAAAAATCCATACATTTAGCCTTCTAGCACGAAATACCTAACATTTTCAACAATAGTGGTTTTGATTAGTCTTAAAGTATATTCGCTAGGTATGGCGAATTTAAGACTAGGTACGTGGCGATAAACACAAAATCTTAAAACATTAAATACAGTTCAAACTTTAGGAAACCTACTTTAAAGTATTGAGCAAAAGTTTTCCGTAGAGATGCGGTTTTAATACTGTGTAATTGATTTACATAGGAACTTTACATGTAAAACCAATTAATAAAAGCCTTTAAAAATCTATGTTATCTCTATTTGTAACAAGATAAACACAATATTTCAATATTATTTTTTTGCCATTTGTCAATGACTGAAAACTGTCAACCTTGACAATTAACTTGACATGCGATTTTTGTTTCATTTCGCGAATGTAAAAATTCATTTTTTTAAGAATCGGATTTTTTCCTTAAACACAAACCTATTAATGAGTGTTTAATAATATTTAAGTTATGAGCTAAATGTTTTATAGTATTAAGGTAAATTTTGTTTTCGTAAAATCCAATTTCATTGAAAGAAAATTACCATTTTTTTTTGAAACAATGTTAGTACATTTTTATTAATTTCTTATTTCCTTTAACCATTGCAACTAATCTCTAGACTTGTGCTAGAATATAGTTCCCGACAATAGTCGAATGGCGGGATTCAAACCTTCAACAAACAAGACCAGTATCTCAAACCGTTAGGCCATTAGGCTTATGGGTATTTGGGGAGATGGTTTTATTTTTATTAACCTTCACGCTTCGTTTTGGATAAAAAATCAAAAAAGTTTAATTCTGATGTTAATTCGTAGATTTTTATTGAATAACATTATGAAATCTTTGATTTTGATGTTACGGTAATTCCAAAATCAAAAAGACATTTACTTTGACGAGTTTATGGTCCGAGTCGAAATTGCAATGTTTTGTTTTCATGCAAGCAAGGAGCCAAGATTGTTGGCCAGTCTTTTTTAAAACTAAACATTATTGTCTATGCTTCAATTCCTCGCAAATGATTGGTCAACAGTTTTTCTATGAGCGTTCATTCTCGCTCTGAAAACGCCAAATACGCTTTCAAACCAAAATGGAGGATTTGTCGGTCGAGGTGTACGGTGAAAATGGTGCTTATTATAAGGTTTGTAAATTGTGAAGTACGTCAGTATTGTTTGTAAATTACATAACATAAATTTGTGAATTATGTAATGTGTTATAAAGAAGCTCTAGAACTTTGTTTTGTCATATACTTACAAAAATATTTTTCCGGGAAGATCATCGCGGCTGGAATGGACGCCATGTCCGTCTGACAGGGCGTGAATTTTCCATGTGTTTTATTCGTGCCGCTTTTATATTTTTAGACCCGATTGCGGAACCATACTTGAGCAGCATTTGATACGTATTTCCATTTGTATGTTTAAACCAAAATGACCCAAAAATCCATTTATTTCTAGCGCAATACCAAGTTATTGGATCATCACCATATTATAATAATTTCCTATATTTTAGGCCATTGTCACCGACGTGCTCGACAACGAGGTTCTTGTAACCTTTGAAAATGAGTAAGTTGGATAATTATTCGATATATTTTTATCTGAGATCAACTGGACGTTTATTTATTTACTTGTATTTTCTATTTTAGCTGGCAGCCGGAATCAAAATTTCCTTTTTCTCAAGTGTTCTTACCACCCAAAGACACCGGCAAACACACGGAATTTGTGGAAAACCAAGAGGTGGAGGTATTTGCAAGATCGAACGACAAAGAAGCATGTGGGTGGTGGACAGCTAACGTTAAGGTATTGTATTACTTTTTAAATCGTTATTAAACCTATAAAAACTTGATTATTTTTATAAAATAAGTCACAAATGTGTTCAGTTTCTTTTAATCTTTCATGCAAAAGTATGCTATTTTGTAGCAAAATGATCAAATCAAAGTTGTCATTCGTTTTTTGTGCAACTACATATTTATGCTGATAAAAACAGTGATTAGATTATAGTTACAAACAAAGAAGAATTAATGTAGAAATAATACTATGTTGAATGTTGCCACAAATGTAAAAATAAGGAAGCTGATAGTATTTTTTTTTATTTTGAGTGTGCTAATAAGATTTTGGACAAAATGTAAATATTGTACTGTCCTCTACAAAAGTCCAGGTGGTTGCATATATTTGCACTGGTACCCTTGCATTTATTTATACTTTGTCCTTCATAATGTAACATTGTGAGTACTTCTAGAAAATCCAGTTTGTTTCACTAATTTGCTTGAACGAGTTCTTATAGCAGTCTTTTGAGTCTTTTGAGTGAATTTATTTCTATGTATCCACTCAATAAACACAATAATTTTATTTTTCGATAATTTTATGAAAGCTAGGATAATAGATATCTACTGAATATTATCTATTGTATAAGAATATTTAAATTATGGAGATTATGAACTAATCTAAATTAGTTTTTTTTACTATAAAGAAATTTATGAATTCATTATTCAATGTGAAACATTTATCAATGAATGGATATCCATGTTTATTTACTCAAATTTATTTCAGTTGTTTAAACAATAAAATACTACTCTTCATTGAATTTATATTTCTTTTACTGTGTAAAACACATTTTTTAAACTAAACTCAAAATTTCCTAATGTTTATAGAGTTTCATAGTTGTTTTTTTTATTAACTTTTAATAGATTAATAGAACCCAAGCCCATTTAATAATGTTAATCAAAAATTAATTTAGATATGTAAACTTTGCATTCTCTGCATCTTGGGTTACATGTAGTTTCTAAGTTATGTTACACAAAATCACAACCAAATGCTTTTTATTAATATACCCTCATAACATATAACCAAACATGGTGCAATAATTTTGACAGCCCTACATATGTTATATTATTGTTATAGATTTATAGAGATTGAGAAAGCAATCAAGGTGTACAAAGATTGAGCTAAATTAAAATACCATGCTTTATGGATGTCAGATATGTGTACTTATCTGTCAGTGCAATGGCATTCAATTTATATTGCAATGAGAATTTATGGGAGTAAATTGATAGGTTCCAGTGTCCTCTTTGAACCTTCTCTTATAAAATAAGGTTGTTTTAAAAACACACAATAAAGATATTAGCCCAAACTGACTTCTAGTTAATAAACCATGTATATTGCAGTAGTAGTACTTATTGTTTAGATTGAATGCAAATGTTTTAGATTTCATATGTTCAAGAGTATAAACGTGAATGTTGCCTGAAAATTGCGAAATTACAATTTCGGTCCATTAATATTTACATGCATGTATTTCCATCAATTGCATACTGAAACATTTTCTTGTATTTTCGTTGAATTATAATATTTAAATTGTCCAAGTGCATTAACCCCTGACTTAGTCTGCAGCCAACTGTGTACCTGCAGTTAGTTGATATGCAGGACTAAGTTATGCAGTAATGCGCCTGCAATGCAGGATGTATCGCATTTCCCAATACTTACATAAACTAATATATACGAATTTTTTAAGTCCCATTTCCTTGGGCGCGCCGGGAAATAATTTTGTATGTAGGGTTCTTGTGCAAGGCAATATTTTTTTAGTTATAAGTTAAAATCGTTGCAATCTTTTAATGCTTGTCTCGTGTTATTACACTTAGTATTTCTTTTAATATTTGTGTTAGTCATGAGGATTAATAAAAAGTGTTGTATAGTTTCTGTAAGCAAAACTACTCATTGAGTTATAACATAGTATGTGCACTAATCGTGCAGTAGTAGTTGAACTGCGTTTCCGATTAGGGTTACCACGTTGACAACGGGACTAGAAAAACAGTAAGACAATCGAACTCCGTAAGGTAGTGTACAACATTAATTTACGATGTCTAAGTGTAAAACAAAACTCTTCTGTTATTCTCAAATAGATATCCTTATATGGAGTAAATTTCTAACTAGTTCCTTAGAATTCAGTGACGTCTGGATCGGTTTAAGGTTGGGATTATATTAGGTCGATTTTGATTTCGGGAATGTCCGGAAACTACGAGCATCGTGGTTCCCTTACACTCGACACGGGCAGTGGGTCGACAGCCTCGCACGGATCGTGCGCTAATTGCGAACTTATGTGCCGCCTCTACAATATGTTTAATAAATAATATCAATTTAAATATTTTATGTTGCATTTGAAATGAATCCTGTGTTAATTTTTTTTACCGGTTTTAAGAGATAAATGTATCAGCTCGACTAGATTTAGGTACCGAGATTAGGTCGGGAGACTATTCCTACGAACTGTTAAATGAATTGTAAAAAACATTGATATCTGTACGGTATTTGAAAAATATAAAACGCGTAAATATTATTTTATAGAAAATTTAAATCTACCTAACTATAAGTTCGCTCCTTTATGTTTGTATTGCAATCCGAAATTACTCCCAAAATTTATTTAATTCATAAATTTTATGGGAATTTCGGAATCCCCCTGTAAGTTCATCAGATAAACGGTCGAAATTTATGTGTTTTAAAATAAAGACAGCCTGCCAAATTGTCATCAGAGTTTTTTAATCTCGTAAGGAAATGAATGTGAAGATATTTTTGCTCGCCCGACCCAAATACCGTCGTCAATAGCTTCCGATCCTACCACGCGCAGCTCAACCATCTCACACCAAAATACACTTGCACTTTCCACTTTTTGTAAACTAATATCTCGTGGAAAAAGCTAAGTCGGAAGATCGAATCAATAATACCGTCTCCATTTATGTCTAAGCTATCCTCTCAATTAAAACGTAAACGATTTGATACACCCTGTAGCATTCCATTCACATGTTTTTCTTGTGTATGTCTTAAATTGCAAAAGGATTATGTCCAAGGCGATGAGCAAACTCAGCGGTCCGTCCGATATTCGAACGTGGGTGCGGACAGATTCATAAAAAAAATTCGCGGCCGCCTGACCCACTTTAGATGAGCAGACGTATAATGTCGGGACGCCCAGAGAAATTTGTATTTTTAAAGACTTTCACAACTTAATATGTTTTACGCTACGAAAAAAGGATAAAATTTATACATAAGCTAGGTTGCATTTTTAACGTTGCAGGAATTTTTTTTTACGCCTGAAGTTAATATTTTACTTAATAAATAATCTAATATGAACATCATATCTATATAAAAAATAGAAAAATACGTTAATGGAGAGACATTTATATGAATTACATAAACTTGGTACTAATGCAAGATTGGGTTTGTGAGTCGCGAAAAAGTGATAGAAGATTGCAATCGCAGACTGCGTCTCTCCTACCCCTCTCCATCTCTCCTCTGTGCAGTACGCCTGCGCGCGGTGGAGCAGGGGAGTGAATGCAAACGCAAGGAGTACACAGAACAGCCGAGTGCCACTTGTCCGCCGCCGAGCCTAATACATTATACAATCCACCCCATTGATGCTTTTTAGCTTCGCGTAATAGTTTATTTATTGAATGGCTCTTTGAAGGATTTTTACGTCTCTTTCTGTGAATAGTAAAATTTGTTTGTTTGGTTTTCAAATATATAATCTTTGTTACTCTGTCTGATTTGAAAATATTGGAAATAAGCTCGTCTGTATATGTGTTGTGTTGTTTCAGATGATTCGCGGCGAGTTCCTAGTGATAGAGTACTTGGAATGGGATAATTGCTACTCGGAGATCGTGCCCAAAGACCGGCTCCGGGTGAAGACGCCCAAAACGCCCATCGACAAGAACACCTTTCACAAGTTCGAGATACCCGTGCCTGATGATCTCAAAGAATAGTCAGTATCCACCATAATCATTACCACCATATTATGAATTATAGGTGACTTCTTAGTAAAAAAAATAATTGTAAAGTAGCCCATGTTTTAGTAATGTAATAGAATATGATCTATAGCTATGCCAAATGTCTTTTATACATATTAAGCCTTTCTGGAGATTCTAACAATCATTTGTATATGTAAATTTTTGGCATTCAAATTGATGGTGATAATGATTTGTCATATAAAAATGATATATCATTTGCCTTCTAAATTTTTCTTTATGTGCGTGTCCTCCGTCATCTGCAATTCGAGTGTATATGGGCAGCTATCGCTTCACTTTCTCGCCGAAGTCAGGTGGCCGCTCGCTCGTTTGCCAGCACATATAAAATAATGTGAGACGTGTCGCGTGTGCGCAGCGCGAAGGTGGAGAACGCGCACAAGGAGTTCCAGAAGGCGATCGACGCGGCGCTGGTGTGGTTCGTGCCGGAGCGCGGCGCGCTGGCCGTCATCTCGCGCTGCGACACCTCGCAGCGCCGCGCCACCATGCTGCAGGAGATGCACTTCAGGTACAGCACACACACACTCGCACACTCGCACTTGCCTTACATATATATAATAAAGCGTAAATACACTATGTTTCTATTTCGTGGCATAGGATGTCAGCAATCACAGCAAATTTTGGAATAACACTTTTTTTAATAAAAATCCCTACAAGTACGACACCCTTTAGGCTTTATATTGTCACACTATTAAACTTAGGGATGAAATAAAAAACGCATGGAAAAGGGACTATAAACAACAATTTTGATATTTGCAATTGAGAATTTGACAAATGTAAATAATAAAGTGAAGTATTTATCATTTAACGCGGATGAGCACAAGAACAGCTAGTATTATATAAATTGTCTGTTTTTGTTATATTTATCGTCATTTTTGAGTAGACTTCTTTGTAAATATGGACAGCTGCCTCTTCATAAATGCTTCTCATAGCATCAACTAGCACGTTTAAATGTTTTCCACTCGCATCTGTAGGTAGCGCTATTGAAATAGTCTTGTGGAATAAAGAAAGTGATAATGTATTTCCAAAGGATAGGTTTAAGTTTGAAGATCTTAATTCTCATAAAAACACAATGTTACACTTACAGTGAGAAAAATATAAATATGTGTAATATAACTATGAGGTTGTAAACATCTTGGCATAACTATAAGAATCTAATCTAATGTAAAAAGCACTTTATTGGGATTCCAATTGTTAAGAATCATTTGTAGTACCATTTGCTCTGAGCGGCAGACTCACCGCTCTGGCAGAGATAGTGCTTACATCATAATGGAAGACACAGGGCCACCTGCATTTAGATTCGTGCTTGGATGGTAGTGTAATTTTCCTACAGTTGCTTTTTAATTATGTCAAATTGATATTATTGAAGACAACAATCACACATTAGAAAATGGTCAACCTACCTTGTAGTTGTGTACAAATGCATTGTTGGACAAAGAAGTACTATGCTAATTTAATTACCTGGGGTAATCAGATTTATTGCTGTGCGTCTTGTGTAAAAAGATTATGTAATTAATATGAAATTGCTACAGACAAGAACTGATTGAACAGACACCCTTAGTTTCATTAACATCTAATTTTGTATAAATATGTTAAGTATTTAAATTTTAATAAACAGATTTGGCATTAAATGTTTTGTAACAATTGTTATTGTTTGTTGTAGAAATTTAACACAGAAGCTGCTATTACTAAAAAAGACTGAGGAGGCAGCTAGGCAGTTGGAGTCGACGAAGATTCACAGTCAGGGAGGGTGAGTACAGTTGTGGGTGGGAGCGGTGTCGGGCGGTCGGTCGGTCGGACTGACCCGCTGCCA